CCGTCTTCGCGTATGACTTCCTATTGCAAAGGTGGGCTTCGTCTTCCCATGCTGCCATCAGCATATTTCTAATACTTTTAGAGCTGGAGCGTTTGCGTCTATACGTGAGACATGACAAAAGCAGCGAATGCATTTCAGTTCGTGGTTTTATTTCCCAAATTCACTTTGACTAGCTCTTCTGGTTTTCACTTGCCGAGTAAATTTCCCGATTTCAATTCGAGTACTCCTATGAAAGTCAATTGAAATGTGGCTTTAAGACTACAACAACAAAACACAAATCGTACGATTTCGACTTAAAAACGACTAGAGATAACTTGTGAAGACCAGAACAGACGAGTATGCCATGTATTGCTGTAAAACTTATATAGTCCAATGTTCCGTCGGCTACTATATTCGGTACCGCTAACGCACATGCGTAAAGGCCTGTAAAATTTCCGCTTTGCTTAAAAGAACTTAGGATATGAAAACTTTTCAAGAACACTCTATTTCAGAATTTGGTTGAAGAAAGCACTATTTCAGAATTCATTTCAAAAACGCCATATCTCAGGTGCCGATTCAAAAAAGCCTTATCTCAGCAAATTGTCAATACATTTTGAAGAGATAGATAGGGTGTTTTTGAACCGATTTCTGAGATAGGGCGTTCTTCATCCAAATTCTGAGATAAGGTGTTTTTCAATAAAATTCTGAAATAGGGCGTCCTTGAAAAGTTTTTTGAGATATGTAGATCTAAAATATCTTCATCGCAAGATTTTAATCAATCGATATTCATATACCCACATTCATATATATCATCGCTTAGCGCACAATACCTCGTATCCGCCAAATGCAATACCACATATGTATAAGATAGTCCGAAAATTTCACAAAAGGGCGAAAAAACTTATTTTCTTCAAAACTTTTGAATGGTTTCCCAACTAAACTTACTAAATATGAGCTTCTACTATAATTATGCACTATTAAATTTGTGAAGTAAGGAAAGCATTGAGACAGGATAACCAAAATAAATATTTTTCTATGCCACCTCAAACGTGGTATTACATTTGGCGGATACGAGGACGATATACGGACGCCTTTGCGCAAAATTATCGTGTGTTACATTTTTTACGAAATTCATTTGTCGATGCAACTTTGTTTTACAACCCATAACGCATCACCTGCTCAAATATTACGGCTTAACTCACAATAGCCAGCCCAAAAATTGACTGTAAAATATGCCAAATGTAAAGTAAAATTTTGATAGTTGAAAAACCAAACAAACGCTCGTGAGAAAGTTTTGTGGCACAATCCGTAGAGCTGAATGATAACTTGATAAAATGTTTGGCGCTTTTAACGTGGTCTGAAATACTTACTACTATAAGCAAATTTCCACATATCCTGCAATGCGCTTCATGATCTTGTTTGCCATGATAATTTTTGCCAAAAAGTGCTTCCCTGCCTGCCTCCTAGAAAAGTTTTTGTATTTACAACTACGCGAATGTACCAAGTATACTTATGTTTATTTTATTTAGCATTACAAATGAAATTCTATAATAATTTAAATATTTGATATGTCCTTAAAAAAATTCCTAAAAAAAGTATGATTTTTATGAATTAAAAGAACAGCCTAAGAGAACTTCTCCAAAAGGCGTTCTGAAGTACGTCCTACAAAAGCCATTCTGGAAGCTCTCCTTTGAGTAGCGAAAACAGAAGCCCTACAAAAAAGAAAGGAAAAAGGAATGACTTGCAGAAAGGCATTTTGGAAGAGATTTTAGAGATTATCAAGCGGGTAGTATGTATGACCCCTCAGCCGTGTACCTGTTCACGAATTTGCACTTCTTTCGCATTTGCCTGAAGTAAGATTTTAGCTGAATAAACTAAAAAGAAAGAAGTAACTCACCAGATATTGTTCAACATGTTAGAAAAGTATCGGTTTTCGATTTCTAATAACAGCAAGCTTAACGTTTTTTCATAGCCAAAATCTGCCAAAAATGAAACGGGTGCCTGCATTGACATTCATTAAAAAACCAGGACAGTTTAAGTGTGGACCAGGACACCAGAACAATTTGTCTAAAACCAGAACAAATCCTGGAAACCCAGGTCGGGCAGCCCTACGTAATACAAAAATGAAATGTTTAGTCTAGTTTCATTCGACCACGAATGCCTTGTTTCGGGTCGTACACTGTCTCTCTTTCCCTCGCCGTGTAGTTAGAGGCAAGTACTAACTTTCCGTAGGATCTAGACTCGGTACCTGGTCCACGTAGTCCCTCTACTCATATCTGGAATATCAGGGGCTTATATTCAATTCTATCTATGTATCTGCATTAGTTTCACAAAAACCAGTACCTGATGTGGGACTTGCTGTCATCGCTGATGTGATTGTATATAAGACTAGATTTCAAATGATCGATGACAGTTAAGGCTAAGTCTATAATAATAATAATAATAATAATAATAATAATAATAGATTGGCGCTTACACATATGTTAGTGTTTGGCCGAGCTTCTCCTCCGACTTATGGCGTGCGGAGGGACCTACAGTTTTACGCAGACTCCGAACGGCGATTGTATTTTTATGAGAAGCTGTTTTTTCATGGCAGAAATACACGCGGAGGTTTGCCATTGCCTGCCGAGGGACGACCGCCGTTAAGAAAAAACCTTTTTTTTTTTGCGATGTTGCTTTGACCAGGGCTTGAACCCAGGTGCTGATAAGTGAAAGCGCGCACTGCTTACCACTACACCACAGCGGCCGACAAGAATTTCATATCAGCAGTAAATTATTGTGAATTGCAGATAGATCATATTGAGAAGTAAAGTCCGCTCTCGTCGTATAAATATCGCACTCTATAAGTCAGTCATAATGCATGTACTGGTGTATGGCGCGGAGGCATGGACATTTGACGAAGTGGCTCTTGAAGTTTTCGAGAGAAAGATTATACGAAAGATTTACGGCTATGGCGAATACCCCAGACGATTTAACGATGAGCTATATGAGCTTTACAACGATATAGCCATAGTGCAGCGAATTCAAACTCAGCGACTCCGCCGACTAGGTCATGTCGTTCGAATGCACAGAAACGCGCAAGCTCTGAAAGAATTGAATGTGGTCGCGTTGCTTGGCATTTCCAATTGACGCCAGTTGGCTCATAAGAGAAACAACTGGCGTGCTGTTTTGGACCCGGCCAAAATCGCTGAGGAGGTTACAGCGCCAATAAAGAAGAAGATAGATCGAATTGAATATAAGTCATCCAAATATTGTTCATAAAAAAAGAGAACTAAAGGGGAAATTTTTAAGAATTCAACGTGTCAGATCACCCATTATTTATTCCGGTTTCGTTAACAATATTTCACGCGGGATTCCTGCCTTAAAGACCAAGTGGTAGACGAATATTTGATAACATTATCATATTGTTTTTAATATAATCAAGAAAATATATTATTTGTCTGAGCACGCCAAAGTGGTAAACAACTTTTATTCTTTCACGCGACATGTTATGACAATATTTTGAATTAAAACGACTTTTTCTCTGACGACAATCCATTAGATGGTCACTAGGCTGGGTCGCAAAAAAAGTTGTAAGGATTCAAATAAAAAATATAAATATACAAAAGTGAAAAGATAAATCACCAAATTTTGCCATTCTGATTCTTGCTGATAATTATCTAATAGAAAAATGGGGAAACAAAGCTCCATTTCCACTGAGAGCTGATTTTGTAACCGGCGTCAGCGGCAAAATTAAAAATAAGTCTATACTTGCCGAATTCCGTCAGACGAACTTTGTCGTCACATTGGTTGTGTGCAATCTCATAAACTGGGGTGTGTTTTAATTTTTACAGCGAACTTTCTTCCGACGAATTTCTCTGGGCGATTTGATTCTTTTAATCGGAAAAGTTTGCGTTACATATTTAACGCCACAGTGAACATGATGAAAGTGTGGACAGAAATGGAACGGCTGCGATGAATGTCACTTATAGCTGGTAGAGAAAAATACAAGGATATAGACAAAGGCACAGATAATTATGATAAGTAGAAGAATAACGACAGAGATAAACCAATGACAAAGGCAAAGGCAGAGACGCATGCAAAAGCAACGAAAAAGACAAGTATAAAAATACAAAGATTGATATTGGGAGAAGGTGTATATGAATATGCAAATAAAGATATAGAGGAAGATAAAGATAAAGATAGAGACAGAGACAGAGATAGAGATAGAGATAGAGATAGAGATAGAGATAGAGATAGAGA